AAAGTGGGTGTGAACAAAGCAGTACTGGTCTGTGTGAGTGTCACGGTGGAAGGAGAGGTGACATCAGATGTGGAATGTGTGACACCACTAGAGGGAGAATTGGCTGAGGACATCTCTGATGTCCCTGTAGACCTGGCATCTGTCGTAGGTACTGTGGTGATCAAGGTGGATGATGGGATGTTATGGGTGGTAGTAGTAGTGACTGGGTCTGTGCTTGGGACAGGGGTAGAAGAGAGGATTGTACTACTCGTGGGGGATGTGATCTCGTTGCTGGTCAATGCAGGAGAAGTGTTGGAAGTGGCCACAGTGAGTGTATTTGTGAGGTGGATTGAAGGAGTGATCGGGGGAGTAGTAATGACTTCTGTCATGTGAGATCCTGTGGGAATGTGTGTGGTAGGAGCCAGTGTGGATTCTGCAGGGGATGAGGCCCTGAGGGTGGTGAAGGGGTCCTGAGTTGTTCTGGTCACTGGTGCAGTGGTGGGAGGTGGTCCTGGAGATGAGGTTGGTGTGAATGTGGCGTCAGTGGGTGGTGTCAGGGTGGATATGGTTGTCGTTTGAAGTGAAGGGGGGGTGGTTGGAGCTGAGGAGACACTGCCAGTATGTGTGGTGCTGGCGCTGCTGGCTGCCATGGATGGGGAGGTTGCTGATGTGGCTAGAGTCCCTGTGGCCAGGGAATCTGTTGGGGAGCTTCCAGGACTCATGGCGGTCAGGGTGGTGCTAGTCATTGGTGTTGTTTGGGTGCTCTGGACAGTGGGGGACAAGCCAATGGTGTTGGTGAGGGTTGCTGGATTGCTGGAGGCTGTGTAGGTGGAGGTCATGTCTGTCATCGTGGTCAATGGCCCAGTGTTGTCCATAGATGAGGTGACATTGGTTGTCACTGTGACCGTAGGGAGGCCTGGACTGGAGGAAGGTGTGAGCCTTGATGTGAATGTCTCTGTGTTCTCTGAGGTCCTAGGGGGTGTGGAGGTGGCAGTTGGGGATGTGCTATGTGTGGGGTAGACATTGGAAGTGGTGACGCTGTATGTGCTGTGAGAGGTGGTCATGGTGGCCACAGTCACCTCCATAGTGGGAGCAGTCTTGGAGGTTTCTGAGGTGGACACAGAGGGCCAGGTGGGAGTGAGGGAAAGGGTACTGGTCTGTGTGTGTGTCATGGTTGAAGGAGAGGTGACATCAGATGTGGAATGTGTGACAATACTAGAGGGAGAACTGGCTGAGGACATCTCTGATGTCCCTGTAGACATGGCTTCTGTCATATATACTGTGGTGACCAAGGTAGATGATGTGGTCTTATGGGTGGTAGTAGTAGTGACAGGCTCTGTGCTTGGGACAGAGGTAGGAGACAGGATCCTACTTGTGGGGGACATGAACATGTTGCTGGTCATGGCAGGAGAGGTGATGGCTGTCATGGATGGGGAGGATGCAGATGTGGCTGGAGTCCCTGTGGCCAGGGAGCCTGTTGGGGAGCTTCCAGGACTCATGGTGGCCCTGGGAGTGGCAGTCAGGGTGGTGCTAGTCAGTGGTGTTGTCTCCGTGCTCTGGACAGTGGGGGACGAGCCAATGGTGTTGGTGAGGGTTGCTGGATTGCTGGAAGCTGTAGAGGTGGAGGTCATCTCTGTCATCGTGGTCAATGGCCCAGTGTTGTCCGTAGATGAGGTGGTATTGGTTGTCAGTGTGATTGAAGGGAGGCCTGGACTGGAGGAATGTGTGAGTCTCGTTGTGGATGTCTCTGTGGTACCCGAGGTGCTTGGAGGGGAGGAGAGGGCAGTTGGGGATGTGGTATGAGTGGGGTAACCACTTGAAGTGGTGAAGCTGTGTGTGCCATCAGAGGTGGTCATGGTGGCCACAGTCACCTGCATTGAGGGAGCATTCTTGGAGGTGTCTAAGGTGGACACAGAGGCCCAGGTGGGAGTGAGGGAAGTAGCACTAGTCTGTGTGTGTGTCATGGTGGAAGGAGAGGTGTCAACAGATATGGAATGTGTGACACCACTAGAGGGAGAACTGGCTGAGGACATCTCTGATGTCCCTGTAGACATGGCTTCTGTCACATATACTGTGGTGAGCAAGGTCAATGATGTGGAGTTATCGGTGGTAGTAGTAATGACAGGGTCTGTGCTTGGGACAGAGGTAGGAGACAGGATCATACTTGTGGGGGACGTGAACACGTTGCTGGTCATGGCCGGAGAGGTGATGGCTGTCATGGATGGGGAGGTTGCCGATGTGGCTGGAGTCCCTGTGGCTAGGGAACCTGTTGGGGAGCTTCCACGACTCATGGTGGCCCTGGGATTGGTGGTCAGGGTGGTACTAGTCAGTGGTGTTGTTTGGGTGTTCTGGACAATGGGGGACGAGCCAATGGTCTTGGTGAGGGTTGCTGGATTGCTGGAGGCTGTGTAGGTGGAGGTCATGTCTGTCATCGTGGTCAATGGCCCACTGTTGTCTGTAGATGACGTGGCATTGGTTGTTAGTGTGATTGAAGGGAGGCCTGGA